CTCTACCCAGGGGGATAGCTTGAGGCTCCGTCTCAAAAAAAAAAAAAAAAAGAAAGAAAAAGAAAAAGAAAATAAGATGAAGTAAAGGTGTCTCTCTTGCTGCTGTGGGATGGGCTGTAGGTGAGGAGAATGGAAGCAAGAGCTCTCCTACACTGCTGGTGGGGAAGTGCAAAGGTTCAGCCACTGTGGAAAACAAGCGGGCAGCTCCTCAAAAGGTTACACACACAGAGATACATGTGACCCAGCAATCCGCTTGTAGCTATATACCCAAAAGAATAAAAACTTACATCCACACTCAGACTCGTACATGAGTGTTCATAGCAGCATTACGCATGATAACCAAAAGCTAGAAACAACCCAAATATCCATCAGTGGATGAATGGATAAACCAAAGGTGAGATACCCATACACAGGACTATCATAAAGTACTGATACATGCTACAATATAGATGGAAGAATCGTGCTAAGTGAAATAAACCAGTCACAAAGGATCACATATGATTTCCATTTACAGGAAATTTCCAGAACAGGCAATCCACAGACACAGGAACTAGACTAGTCATTGCCTAGCGCTGGGGCAGAACGGGGAGTTTGATGGTGAAAGGGTATGGAATTTCTTTTTGGATTGATAAAAGCATTCTGAAGTTGACTGTGGTGGCTGCACAATTCTGTGAATATACTAAAAACAACTGACATATACGTCTATGGCAGCCCAGCCCAGAGCTCTCAAAATAATTCAAGGAACAGGGAGGAGATTGATTAGTGAGATCTTGGCAGCCCCTTCTAATGCAAGCCTTGTTTGCTTCTCTCCCTCTTTGGTTTGTATTGACAGGACACAGAACAGAATAAAACAAAAGGATTTGATTACTTACTAAAGGCAGCCAAAGCTGGTGACAGACAGTCCATGATCCTGGTGGCACGAGCTTTTGACACCGGGCAGAACCTCAGCCCAGACAGGTACTGGGGCTGTTGATCAGGTAGAGCTGGTGGGAACCGGGGCTGTGGGTGGACCTGCTCCTCCCGTGTCAGGACAGACCTGGGTTCCAGACTTGATTCCCCATTACCAATCCAGCGATGGTGGGCACGTTATTTTCCCTTCCTCGCTTGAGTTTCTTTATTTTGCAAACTGGGAGTAATTATAGCACCTGTATCGCGGGGCTGTTGTGGGAGAGTTGAATGAGATGTTGCTTGTGACCCTCACAGTGTTTGGCATATAAAGTATGTGATACATGGCAGCTGTTCTAGCCAGTAAGTGGAAGCCTCTGCCTAAGAAAAAAGAATCCAGAATGGCATGTGGCATCAAGGTCAGAGTGGTTTTCCTATAATGTTAGGATTATGGGCAATTTTAATTGGCTTTTCCTACTTTCATTTGTATTTGTAATTTTTTTTTTTTTTTTTACTTCCAAGAGGAAGGGGAGGGAAAGAGGCAAGCTCCACAGTGAGTTTTCCTGAATGGCTTTGGGACCCTGAAGGCTGTGGCTCTGTAGGTGTCAACCCTTTTCATTTATCCTTCAGGCTGAGATGTCAGCACTGATTTCTGCATTGATGGCCAGCTTCATCTCGGGTCCTTGGTTTGGCCAGTAGGAGGTCCTAGAAGTATATGGGGAAAGGTTGTTTAGGGGAATTGAACTTGTCATTGGACCCTTTGCTCACCCTCTGTGGCTTCCATTGGAACTTAGCAACCTCCACTCCATCTTTAGGAGCCTCCCATGGGTTTCTGGGAAGGAGTAGGGTGAGCACCTTCATTATCTAAACCTCCAGGGTTGGAGCAGCATGGCACTTCCCTCCTGTCTGGTGCCAAGGTCACAAATCCCTTGGTTTTTATTTATTTTGAAGACAATCTCACTCAGCCACCCCAGGTTTGAACGCCATGGTGTCAGCCTCAAACTCTTGGGCTCAAGCCATCCTCTTGTCTCAGCCTCCCAAGTAGCTGGTACTATAGGTGTGCACCAACAGCATGGATAGTTTTTCTTGTTTCTTTTCTTTTTCATTTTTTGAGATAGAGTCTGTCACCCTGGGTAGAGTGCCATGGTGTCATAGCTCACAGCAACCTCAAATTCTTAGGTTCAAGTGATCCTCTTGCCTCAGCCTCTTGAGTAGCTGGGACTACAGGCACCTGCCACAGTGCCCAGCTATTTTTTCTATTTTTAGTAGGGACGGGGTCTCACTCTTGCTCAGGCTAGTCTTGAACTCCTAAGCTTAAGGGATCCTCCCCCTGCTAGGATTATAGGCATGAGCCATGGCACCCTGCCTGATTTCCATTTCTTAATAAGATAAAATGGAATCAAAGTCATCTCCTGAACACCGTCCCAGCCAGCCACCAGTTTACCTTTATTCATTCAGCAGGTAGTTGAGCCTGTGCTGTTTGTCAGGCCCTGAAATTCAGCGGTAAACAAAGCAGACCAAGGTCCCTGGCTTTTTGGGGCTCATGTGCTAGTCAGGGGAGACCATGATTAAACAAGTGAACAAGGAAAATTGAAGATTGCAATAACTGTTGTAAGAAACAGGGTATTTGAGGGGGGTGGAAGTTTCTGAAGAGGTGCTATGTGAGCTGAGAATGGAGGGGTGAGGAGAGTTTGTCTTATGCTGCTATGAAACAATATCTAAATGGGATATTTATTAGCTCATATTTAAATGGGATATTTATTAGCTTAATCATAAATGGGAATTTATTAGCTCCCATTTCTGGAGGCTGGGAAGTCCAAAATCAAGGCTCTGGCATCTGGTGAGGGCCTGCATGCTGTGTGGTCATGTGGCAGGAGGTGAGAGGGTGAGAAGGAGGAAAAGAGAGAGAGAATTAAGCCCTAGGGAGTCAAGCTCACCCTTTGATAATGGACTCACTCTCCCCACAGCAGCATGAGCCCTCACCTGCCGTTCAGCTCTCAAAGGTCCCACCCACCTCCTAATACCATCAGTGGCAATCAAATTTCAACGTGAGGTTTGGAAGGAGCACACATTCAAGCAATAGCAAGGAGCCAGGTGTGAACAAAGTTAGGAGAACAGTGTTCCAAAGTGAGGAAATAGCAGTTGGAAGGCCAAGGAGCAGGCAGGAGCTGGTGCAGGCATCCTCAAACTATGGCCTGCGGGCCACATGCGGCCCATCGAGGACGTTTATCCGGCTGACCAGGTGTTTTTGCCGCTGCTGCCTGACCTGCTTAGCAACCGACTAGTCCCAGGGCCCACAGTCCGGCCCTCCAATGGTCTGAGGGACAGTGAACTGGCCCCCTGTTTAAAAAGTTTGAGGACCCCTGAGCTGGTGTGTCTGGGGAATAGGAGGCAGCCTTACAGCCTGGCACAGAGGGTGGTTAACAGAATGGGGTCAGATAGGCCTCAGAGGAAGCGGTTGCCACAGGGGAAAACAACCAGTCAGTAGGTGTTGCTTGTGGAATGTTTCATGAGAACCATAGACCTTATCTGGGTCTCTCTCTTTGCACTTTCCTGGTACACCATAAATAGTTACTCATATGGGTTACACCCATAGAAAAAGAGCCACACCCTATGTGCTCTATATTTTGTGTTGTATGGTTTGGCTGGAACCTGTGTATTTCCCTGGTGTGCACCAGTGGGAGAGGGATGAGGGTAAAGGGGCAGAGCTGGAATGGAAGGCGTCAGCTATTCCAGGGTAAGCTCTATGTTGTGCTTCAGAAGAGCCAGAACTGGCCAGCACAAGCAGGGCATAAAAGGGGGGCAGATGATTGCTGTTACCTCAGATGGCCCTGGAGGCCTCTGCTGAGGGTGTCCTGTGCTCCCCTTCTCTACCAGAATCAGAGAGCAGCTTAGCTAGGACACTGCTGATACTAGCTCATAGGTGCTTTTGCGCAAACAATAGCTCCATTCCTCCAAGTGCCCTACTCCCTTCCGTCGGTTGGGAGATTGTTGTAATGTACTGATTTTGTTAAGGAAAGCTGCTCGACTGCTCTCTTAATAAATGTATCAATCTACAATGTGAAGGTGCCCTTTTGATGCAATGGCCTTGATTAGGATGAGTGGTGAGCCGTAGGTGGCAGCCCTGCTGGGATGCGGGATTGCCCCTCCTGCATGGCCCTCCTTCCTCAGTGTCTTGGTAACTTTCCTTTCTCTTACCTCCTGGCAAGGTCCCAAGACTGGGTGGAGGCCCTGCACTGGTACAGTGCTGCCCTGGAGAGGACCGACTGTGATGAGGGTGGTGAGTACGACGGGATGCAAGACGAGCCCCGGTACTTGCTGCTGGCTAGGGAGGCCGAGATGCTGTTCATGGGTGGCTGTGGTCTGGAGAAGGACCCACAGAGATCAGGTAAGTCCTGGCAGACCCATCCCTGGAGTGAGTCTCTTTCCTAGGAGGGGGCTTTATGGAGCTGGTATGGAGGTGAAGATTTTTATTTTAATGGTTATATATTGGGCAGCGCCTGTGGCTCAGTGGATAGGGTGCTAGCCTTATATACCGAGGGTTGTGGGTTTGAACCCAGCCCCGGCCAAACTGCAACAAAAAAATAGCCAGCCATTGTGGCTGGTGCCTGTAGTAACAGCTACTTGGGAGGCTGAGGCAAGAGAATTGCCTAAGCCCAGGAGTTGGAGGTTGCTGTGAGCTATGACATCACAGCACTCTACTGAGGGCAATAAAGTGATACTCTGTCTCTAAAAACTTGTGGAGTTTTTTGCAATTTAAAAAAAATTGAGTTGAGAATTGAAATTTTCTTTTCTTTCTTTTTTTTTTAGAGACAGACAGAGTCTCACTTTTTTGCCCTCAATAGAGTGCTATAGTGTCACAGCTCACAGCAACCTCAGACTCTTGTGCTTTAGCAATTCTCTTGCCTCAGCCTCTCAAGTAGCTGGGACCACAGGCACCCACCACAATGCCCAGCTATTTTTTTTTTTAGTTGTAGTTGTCATTGTTGTTTGGCAGGCCCAGACTGGATTCGAACCCACCAACTCTGGTGTATATGGCTGGTGCCCTAGCCACTTGAGCCAAGCCTATAGGTGCCAAGCCTATTTAATTATTTTTTAATTAATTAATTTTTTTGAGACAGAGTCTCACTTTGCTACTCTCAGTAGAGTGTGGGGTCATAGCTCACAACAACCTCAAACTCAAGCCAGTCTCTTTCCTCAGCCTCCCAAGTAGCTGGGACTATAGGTGCTCGCCACAACACCCGGCTATTTTTTTTTTTTTTTTGAGAGATGAGGTCTGGGTTTGGCTGGGACTGGTCTCAAACTGGTGAGCTCAGGCAGTCCACTTGCGTCGGCCTTCCAGAGTGCTAGGATTATAGGCGTGAGCCACCACACCTGGCCTTAAAAGTTTTTTTAAAGTTGTGTTAAAAAATTAGCAAAGAGGCTCTGTGCCTGTAGCTCAGTGGCTAGGGCACCAGCCACATACACCGGAGCTGGCAGGTTCAAATCCAGCCTGGGGCTGCCAAACGACAATGACAACTACAACCAAAAACTAGCTGGGTGTTGTGGTAGGTGCCTGCAGTCTCAGTTTCTTGGGAGGCTGAGGAAAGAGAATGGCTTGAGCCTAAGAGTTTGAGGTTGCTGTGAGCAGTGACACCACACTCTACCTAGGGTGACAAAGTGAGACTGTCTTAAATAAATAAATAATTAGCTAACAATAATGCAAATCTATAATCTCATATTTAAAATTTCTAAATCCATAAAGCTCTGAGAACCAAAAGTAGTTTTGTAACTTTTACATAAATTCACTTGATAGCAAAATCTGTCCTGAGCTGGCTTGAAGCTGTTTATAATCTTTGATCCCCAATTGGTTATACAGAAGTCTTTATCCTGATTCTCATTGGCTCAAATTGAATCAGCTGCTCACCCCTAAACCAATCCCTGTAATTGTTGACATGACTTCCTGTGATTGGCCATCCTTAAGACTGGCCCAATCCCTGAGCCTGGTGGAGAATGAGGAGAGTGTTTTGATTGGTCAGACCTGATCACATGCTAACCCGTAGTCTACCACCTACAATGTCTGGAGGTAGAGTCTGACAAAAGGGGCGGTTTGGGTTCCTAAGGTAGCCCCAGAGTGCACTCCTGGGAGGGGTGGGGGACCCTGGGCTAGCCCAAAGAACAGATGGGTCACCTCTTTGTGCCTCACTTTGCTCTCTTCCAGGGGACTTGTACACCCAGGCGGCAGAGGCAGCCATGGAAGCCATGAAGGGCCGGCTAGCCAACCTGTACTACCAGAAGGCAGAGGAGGCTTGGGCTCAAATGGAGGAATGACCTACAGGAGGATCCCTGTCAGCTAGTCCCAAGCCAACCGGCTAGGAGGACACACACACACAAAGATTTATTTAGTTTGGAGAAGGAAAGCGTTTTTCGTGTGTTGTACATCAACTTTTGTATTTCATTTTTTAATTCTTCAAAATGTCTTGGCTACTAGCAGAGACATTATAGCTGTCCCCTGGGGCAGTAGTTTGGGGGGAGTGAGGATTTAAAAAAGCAGCCTAATGAACCAATTTATCTTTTTGAGGTTCTATTTTTACTTCCTTTTTTTGTCACGAAATGTAAGAAAGCGCTTTTTGCCTTGGATGGACAATATTAGGGCTCTGCTCTCCGGCCTTTTCAGGCTGGACTGAAATCTCAGGCCCACGGAGCCCTGTGTTTTGTAAATCAGGAAGGGGAATCTAGGGCTGCATAGTAACTTTTTAGGGGATGCATATTGTTGTCACTTAGTATGAAGTCTTCTTTCTCAAGGCATTTGGAAGTGTGCATGGCATTTTTTGGTGGATGTGAAATTGTACAATACCCAAACCCCCTTTTGCTTCAGGGATGGGCTCACCTTCTGGCTGTTTTCTAAACTTTTAGTTCAACTTCCTCCCCCATGCTACTGATTTTCTGGCCTACAGTCAAATGCTGTTTTTTAAGCATGCTTTCTACAGTGGGCTTTACAAAACAGTTTTGATATTTGTATGCGCACATTTACTACCTCTAACTCCTATATCAGCTAGTGTGGAAGAGGGTGCACCTCAAAGCTTTTACATGTAAGGACAGTGGCTTGGAATGTTGGAACCCTGCCTCCCAAGCTGACACGTACTGTGCATCTCAGTGGCAGCTTCCACAACGTGACTAAAGTGTCCCTTGTACAGTATTCCTCAATGTTTTCTTAGCATTGTTATGTAGAATCTGTTCCCCAATCCCTGTCTTGGGGATTTTCTGCTTGAAGCTGTGTTGATTTTTTTGTAATTTGCAGCAGGATGCTTTCAGCAGCAGCCCATTGAGATTTTATCTAAGATGTCTGAGAATAAAAGGGCAAGAACTATAAACACTCATTAATTCAAGTAGTTTCCCTAGGGCCAGGCTATGGTTATCTTTATTTAACAAGCTTTTCCTTTAAATGGAGTTATGATTTCATGTGAGGGCGATTTCATTTGGTGTTTCAAAATAGCAAACAGAATGCTTTGATCAACTCTAAATACTAAAGCAGCCTCTCTTTCTTTCTTTAAAAATCAAAACATAGAGGCTTGGCACCTGTGGCTCAAGAGGCTAAGGCATCAGCCACATACACCAGAGCTAGCAGGTTTGAACCCAGCCTGGGACTGCCAAACAACAATGACAACTACAACCAAAAAATAGCCAGGCATTGTGGTGGGCACCTGTGGTCCCAGCTACTTGGGAGGCTGAGGCAAGAGAATCACTTAAGCCCAAGAGTTTGAGGTTGCTGTGAGCTATGATGCCACAGCACTCTACCCAGGGGGACAGTTTGAGGTTCTACTTAAAAAAAAAAAAAAAAATTAGAAAAGCAGAGTATGACATATAAACCTTTTTTTTTTCTTTGAGACAGGGTATCACTATGTTGCCCAGCCTAGAGACCAGTGGCATGATCATAGTTCGTTGCAGCCTCAAATTCCTGGGCTTAAGTGATTCTCCTGCCTCAGCCTTCTGAGTAGCTCACACCACCATACCTGGCTAATTTTTAAAATTTTTGTAGAGATCAGGTTTCTCTAGGTTGCCCAGACTGGTCTCAAGCTCCTGGCCTCAAGCGATCCTTCTGCCTCAGCACCCCAAAATGCTGGGATTACAGGCATGAGCCACTGCTTTCAGTCAGCTATTCTTATTTATTAAAACAGGTTTTTCAGCACTTTAGTATTGAGTGCTGTGGAGTCATGAATCTGTGCAAGGATTAGGTTCTAAAGTCTAGAGTGTATGTACCCTCAAAGGAAAAATCAAGTGGCATCTAAATTACCCTTCACATTGCTTAGACCACCCATAAGTGACAGTGTCCCTGGTTTTTTCATATGGATTCATCACGACCAGTTTTCCTTAGAAGTTAGAACTGATCAGCCCTTTGTTACCTGTACCAGATCAGTAGTTGGTAAAGGTATGTGGATGTGTCTGTGTTAAACCAGCGCATATAGTTATATTGCATATAAATGTAAGAAGCAACTTTATTGTGACTTATTTCTTCGAAGTAGTCAAACCTCACATTATTCATGCTTTTTGTTAATTCAGCCACCTTCCTCTCTGAGATATTGTTATGCAAATAATTTGTATTACCATCTAATTTCTTAGCTATAAGTCATCTCTTCTTTAGTAGGAATTGGCAGACATTTTTGTAAAGGACTAGATAGATTTTACAGGTCAAAGGCCCTTGTTGCAACTATTCAACCCGTCTGTGCAGTGTAAATCAGCCATGGACGGTATATGAACAAATGAGTGTGGCAGGTGTTCCAGTTAAACTTTATTTACAAAAACAGTTGGCTTTCGGCTCGGCACCTGTGGCTCAAGTGGCTAAGGAGCCAGCCACATACACCTAAGGTGGCGGGTTCGAATCCCCAGCCCGGGCCACCAAAACAACAATGACGGCTGCAACCAAAAAATAGCCGAGCACTGTGGCGGGTGCCTGTAGTCCCAGCTACTTGGGAGGCAGAGGCAGGAGACTCGCTTGAGCCCAGGAGTTGGAGGTTGCTGTGAGCTGTGATGCCACAGCACTCTACCCAGGGGGACAGCTTGAGGCTCTGTCTCAGAAAAAAAACAAAACAAAAAACAGTTGGCTTTCCTGGGCTGTAGTTTGTCAAGCCTGCTCTAACTTGTGACTGAGGGCTACTTTATTAAGTCCTGGGGACTGGAGCTATCTCAACTTTGTGGCCCCCAGTGCTCAAAAAAACAATGCTTTGACACAGAGGAGGCACTCAACAAATGTATGAACAAATGGAAAGTCAGTCCCAGTCACTGCACTTACTTTTTGAAGCTATAGTTCTTCCAAGCAATCAATGTTAATTGTCTGGACTAGCTCGAACCCTCAGCCCCATCATCCCATTCCCCACCCACCCACCTACCCATATGACCTTCATGTGTCAGTAGTCGGTCTCCTCTGGGAGGCTGGGGTGGCCTGAATGTAGAGTTAAGCAAATGCTTCTTTAAGGATCCTTGAAAATAAAAAAGTACCTTGTAAGATATCGAATCCTTCTGAGCCAGCAGATGAACTGACTCCACCTTCAAAACCTCGTTTTGTGCCTTCTAAAGTTGGCTAAAATTTCCAAAAATTCTGAGCATGCCCCCCAAAAAAGGTACATCCGGGATATTCCAGCCCAGCTGGGACAACATCAGAAACTATCTTCAAGTGCAAGAAGTCCAGGAGATTAGCACAGCAGATATGTAATTATCATCTGGTACCTTCAATTCATTAACACAGAAACCAGAGTTATTCCCGGTAGATTATTTCATAGTGACACAGCTAGGTAAGGACTAAGCTAAAGCTAGTGTTTCAGAGCTGCTGATACTTAGAGGCTCCTGGGAATGTAATTTAAAGTTAAACCAGAGTTTAATGACCCTTTTAGTTTTGCTATAGGGAAGAGGAAAAAACATAAGCAAAGAAATAAATGACTGCCAGGCTATGCAGATATAAGTAAGAAGAGAAAAAACAAAGCCCCGTGCTTCTGAATATTCCTGTTCTCCCTGTCTCCTGAGGCACTGTGGGAATGTATCAAATGCAAGCTTGGGCTCGGCGCCTGTGGCTCAAGTGGCTAAGGCGCCAGCCACATACACCTAAGGTGGC